TGTTTATCAGTTTTCTTTTTGATGGACATCTGAGTTGTTTCTAGTTTTTGGCTATTACAAATAGAGCTGCTTCCAACATTTTTTGATGAATATTTTTGTGGATGTATGTTTTCATTTATCTTTGGTTAATTCCTAGGAGAGCAATTTGAGTCATGGAATGTGTATGTTTAACTTTATGAGAAACTTCCAAATTATGCCTTTTTTGCATTTGGGAAAATAATGCTTTTGCATTTTCACCAGCAATACATAAGGATTACAGTTGCTCCACACCCTCAAAATCTCTCGATATTGTTAATCTTTTTAATTTTAGTATCTTAATGGGTATGAAGTAATGAAGTACCATCTTACTGTGGTTTGTATTTGTATATCACTGGTAACTAATGATGTTAAGTGTCTCTGATGTTCTTACTGGCTGTTTGTTCATCATCTTTTCTGAACTTTTTTAACACAATTTCTTGAACTGGGTTCTTTGTTTTGTTGTTGGGATACCAGTTTTGTATATGTTCTTCATGCAAATGCTTTATCAGATAGAAATTCAGTATTGCAAAAATGTTCTCCCAGGTTATAGTTTGTCTTTTCATTTTTTAAATTATGCTTTTGAATAAATGTTTTCAATTTTGATGAGGTCCAGTTTTCATTTCTTTTTTATAGTTAGTGTTTTTTGTGCTTCTCTAAGAAACCTTTGCTTACCCACTTGATCATGAGGTTATCCTTCTAAGTTTTCTTCCAGGATCTTTATAGCATTAACTTTATATTTAGGAGGAAAAACTATGCATGAAAACTATTGCATTTTAAAAATCAGTGTTGTCCCTTTGTTAACCTAACAGAGAGTGTTGGTTGAGTGTTTGCCACATGGTATTTCAGAAGGTAAGGCACTTCAAATAACTGTCCAGGACATTTTAAAGTCATAGTTAGGATGAATTTTTACTTCAAGATGTCTGATTACTTGTTACAACTCATAGATCATAATTACATTTCAATCTATCTTTGTAATGAGGAGAAAACTACACTCTAACATTTATAAGAAACCTAACTCATAAATAAAATATATCACCCAGGATACTCTTCCTCCTCCACGTCTTCCTTCCTATTCCCCTCCTTTTTTTGTTCCCTTCCTCTCTTTCTTTCCTTTTCATTCCTCCCCTCCTTTTCTCTTACTTTTTCCCTTTTTCCTTCCTCCATTAAAAAACATGTTTTTTCTTACATTGTGGTATTGTGGGGTTTCATAGTTGAGCTTTTTTACATGATAAAATATCCTCTAGTAATCGGTTCTTGAGATCAGATAATGGGATGCTGTCTTCCAACGATATGTTTGCATCACTGGCCTTATGCACCCTAGTGATACTGTAATTGGTGTTTGTTGCTTTATTATACCACAGGAAATTACCTGGGAAAGATATAGGACTATATGAAGTGTCAGAGACAGCTGTAATTCATGGCCCATTTATATGTGGAAAAATTAGCTCTTAGTAATATGATTTGAGTAGAAAAATAATTTCTAAGATTAAATGAGAACTGAAAATTTTGTATTGTAAAATCAAACTCCCTCATGGCCTTATGATAGCTTTTTGAAATGACAAATAATAGCATAACATAAACTTTATGGTTGGTGGAAAGTGCATGCTGTGTTCTAATTACAGGGGTACTATCATTTCAAAGGCTGAGATTTCTGATGGAATTTGGCTGTAATGTAGACTTTAATATCCTATTGTGTAGTATCATTTCTTAAATCTGTTTTACAGCATCTTGAGGTTATAACTTCTTAGTGTGCTGTTGATTGAATGGTCTGAATGAAATATCACTTTAGGTCTATTTTCCAGTAGCTCAAATGCAACTTCAAGAAACGTACCCTTGCTTGTACTAAACAACAGTTCTTATTCTTTGCTGTAGGACAAGAAATGGATTCTCAGTCATGAAGATGTCACATTGGGAGAATTACTGGGCAAGGTATGTAATCAACTGAGCTAAATAACTAGAAGTCTCTATATTGATTCTGAAGACTGCAGATTTTTTCATTTTCTTCAAAGCTTTTCTTATATTGCTGCGAGGCACATTACACATTAACTAGAATGCAATACTGTATCTGTTATCAATATTGTGATGCTCACTGAAATAGATGTGTGAAAGTCTTTGAAAGGTTTAAGGATGATTCTTAACTTTTAAGAATATTATGTGTGTGTTTTCCCCTGGAAGGACTAAAAATCATAATGATTTTATTTCAGTATGCAGTAAACTCAAAACTAGTGAACTGAGATTTGAAAAGAAACAGTGAGATAATAAAAGTTTAAATAAATACCCAAAAGTCTTGTTCTTTTTGTTTCTGGTTACATGTGATAGTTCAGGAAAAAAATGGCATACAACCTCTTGGGATTTCAGGATTGTATATAGAATTACAGTGTGTAACAATGCTGGAACACTGGGCATATCTGAATCTAAAAATGTGGACAAGATACTTGTTTCAATATAAATATTAATTTTATAACTAATTCTATTAATCAGAAAAAGCAACTATATATAATAAAAGTCCCTTTTCTTCCAACATAGTTGGAAGTTTCTTTGAACTCATAGGCCATAGTCAAGTATATGTTATTTAACAATAATGGCGGATACTTGAGAATTAACCAAATGGACTATTTGAAAATTTATTAATAATAGTTTATTTATAATTGAGTTCCAGTGAATAAGTACTCACTTTTTTGTCAATGACTTAATTAGTGATGTTTCTATTAATATATAAAAATACAAATTCAGTTTATCTTCATGGCGTGATACAAAAAATAGTATAAGATATATATTTAGGAAAAGCTAATATACATATGAGTGATCAGTACTGAACTTAATTAAGGCTCAACATTTTAGATAAAGAAATGATTATTCATTAATTTTTTAATTCAAATGTAAACTTGATGAATTGACTGTTTTCCCCTATTTTTAAAAAAGTTCTGAGAAAGTAAATGTCTGTTGAAATAATGTAGTTTGCAGGATTCTTATCATGTATTATTTTAAAATACCTTTCCCAAATGGAAACATCAGATTGTTATTGGAAAGCAGATTTTTATTGGCATATTTAGTAAGTAAATTCTAAAGAACTTCAAGCTAAAAGCAGTGACTCATATGTTATTTCCTCTGGATTTCTTTCCTCATCCTTAAGGAAATATTTCTTCTTTCCCTTGCTCTAAGTAACTCAGTAGCAGTGACTAGAACAAAAAATATTACAAAGATTAATTTCCATGATACAGTTAAATAATAAATTGTAAAACTAAAGCATTTACTGAAATAAAGGCAGAATATGTTGAGAAGGACAGACTTTTTAGTACGATGGAAAAAATATTTTTAATTAAAGAGAAATATTTCTATTTTTGTGTTTAGTTTATGCTATAAAGTATTAGGAGGAATTTGTCTCCTTAGACTATTTCAAAGAATAATTATTTTCTCAACAACAAGTAATATGTCAGTCTCAATGAATTTATTTTAAATAAAAGACTGTGACTTTGAGGCAATGTGTAGCTTAATTTCATCCAGTATTTTTAAGTACAAGAAAATGGTTATTTAATATTTTTCACTGCCTATTTTAAATAATCATTTACAGTATACTGCTTAAGAGTGCATGGCTAATTAAGACAATTAGCCATGGTTCCTGTCATTAGAGACTTTGGAGTTAAGTTGTAATATAAGATAATGGCAGGAATGCTGAGGTTTTTTTGTATTCAGCACTGTATTTTTAGTAGACTGTACTTGATATACAGTATCAGGTACAGCTATAGTCGATAGTTGGTATTCAATAAATATTCAGTCATCCAGTGTTTTTTGAATGCCTACTATGTGCAAGGCACTTTTCTGGGCACTTTTACAGTATCAATGAACAAGTAGCCAGAAATCCTTTCTCTTATGGAGCTTAATAATCTCTCTAGGAGGAGAAGATAAACAATAAGCATAATAAATAGGTAAATTTGTAATGTTAGAAGGTGCTAAGTCCTGTGAAAAATATAGAGGGATTGGAAGCGTTACTAGTTGTAGTTGCTGTTTTTAGTAGGAAATCCAGATAAACCTTATTATCTTATGTTTACTTTTGAATAAAGACTTGAAGGAGGTGGGAAATTTAGCCACATGGACATCTGAGGGGAGAAGGATCTATGCAGAGTAAACAGCCAATGCAAACTTTGTTTGAAGAACAAGGGAGGCATTTTGGTTGTAACAGTAAGCAAGGTGAATGTGATAGGAGAGGAAGTCTGTAAGGTGATGAGGGTATAAATTACATTGACCTTGTAAGTCATTATAATTACGTTGGCTTTGATTATGAATGAAATGGTGAGCTGGTGGGCAATTTTAAGAGGAGGAATGGCATGATCTTTTTAAAAAAGTTATTCTGGGAGTTGTGAAAATAGGCTGACAACTTGGAAAGGTTAGGAGGCAGTTGAACTTACCTGACTAAAAGATGATGCTACATTAAGATGATAGCAATTGAGGTGGTGTGAAGTAGTGAGTTCTGGAGGTATTTTTGAAATTGAATCAATTGAATATCCTGATGGACTCTGTATGTGGGGTATTAGAGAAAGATTTCAGTCCTAAGTGTAAAAGATTTCAGGGAACGAGAAAAGATGTTCAGTTTTGGATGTATTGAGTTTTTCTATTAGACTTCCAAGTGGGGATGATGGAAACTATTGGGTATCAAGTCTGGAGTTAGAGAAAAGAGGTCTGAGTCAAAAGTACAAATCTGGTAGTTGTTAGTATATAGCTGGTACTTAATACAATTAGATGAATTCAACAATGGAGTGAGTCTAGATGAAGAAGAGAAGAAGATCAAGGATTGAGCCTTGCTCACTGGAACACTAAGAGGTGGAAATAAGAGAAGCAATCCCCAAAGGAGGTTGAAAAGAGCAGCCAAGTAGGAAGGCAGAAAACCAGGAGATATGATGCCTTGGAAGACAACAGGAGAAAGTATATACCAAGGAAGAAAGTGATCAGTTGTGTCAGATGATGCTGAAAAGCCAAACGAGATGGGATTTAGCAATGAGAAGATCACTGGTGACTTGGCTGAGCAGTTTCCTTGGGATGCTTTAGGTGAAAGCCAATTTGGAATGGATTTGAGAAGAACGGGAGGAGAGGATTAGAGGTAGCAAAGATGTAATTCCTTAAAGTTTTGCTGCAAAAGAAATCAGAGATGTGGGGTGATAGTTTCAAGAGAATGATTTGTGCTTTGTAATTGTTATTGTTTAACTTGAGAAAAATAATAGCATACTAGTTTGCAGTTGGGAATGATCTAGTGAAAATTCATCATTTAAGAGAGAGAGAAATTGCTACAGCGTCATCCTTGAGTAGGTAAGAGGGGATGCAATTTAGTTCACAATGAAGGATTGACTTTAATAGAAACACAGTAGTTCACTTTTTATAACAGCGAGGAAGATTGGTAGGTGGGTCAGTAGAGCAACAAGAGCCCAAAGTTCTCTTTACATTGCTTCGATTCTTGAAATGAAGTAGGAAGCAAAAGCATCAGCAAAGAATGAGAATAGGAGATTTGAGAAGAGAATAGAAGAGAAGCAGTCATCCAGAAAACAGGGAGTGTGAGTGATCTAAAAAAATATAATATGATTATTGAGTACGTTAAGGGCCCCCTAAAGGTTTGTGTTCATGAATTTAAAGTTAAATCAGTCAGCATGATCATGGTTTTTCTCCAGCCATATTAGCTTTATAGGTGCAGAGTAGGAAGAGTTTTGGATTTAATCAGACTTGTAGATTTGCCAAGGGAGTTTTACAGATTAACAGAAGAGCAAATAAATTGAGAGTGTATGGGAAGGCAGTTGTAATTATTGACCATGGAATTTAAGGTGGAATACAGGAGGAAGAGAATATAATAAGAGAATGATGTAAAAATTGATAGAACCTAAAGACTGTCAGTTCCTATGAAGTCAAAGGAGTTTTGAAGTCTGGATAAGTATTCCAAAAAGAAGAGGAAGTAAGCTAGAAAGATAGAAGCCAACCAGAAGATGAGACAAATGAGATAGATGTTATAGAGCATTTGCATTATAGGTATGGCACAGTTTAAGATATGACCCTAGAAAATAGATTGGAGTGCAAGATAATTGGAGGAGAGATGATCAAGAAACTGAAAGTTTGAATTGTTGGAAGGACCTTTAAATGTCTATTGAAATTACAAAGTATTAGGACACTGGGTAGACTGACAGTTACCCAAGGACTCAAATTGTCAATAAACAAAATGTTTTCAAATTCAGTAAATGACAACTGGAGTGAGGAATAGTGGGTAATATAATTGAGTGACAAATTTTCAAAGCTGAGAGTTTCAGGAATGTGGGAGAGATAATGGTTTAAAACCAGTAATAAGTAGGTAATAGAACACTGTGTTCTATCTGCAGGGCAATGGTAGGATTATATGTGGGGAAAATAACTCATCACTTAAGTTTAGATAGCAAAAGGAAATTCATCCACCATTTGGGTCTTCTCAAATAAGAGCCATTATTTTCTTAGAACAGGAAGTTAAAGGAAATGATCAAAGAATAGATTAAAAATATAATTTTGAGGATGATGGACCATGAATTCCAGAAGGCACTATGCAAGTTGGGGATAGATGAGAAAGGAGGATCAAATAGAAGTATGCTGAATCTGAGGG